TGATTAAACAGCTAGAAAGATCTTTCAGCAGGAAAAAAAAAAGGAACATGTCCAAAATTGTCAAGCTGTACGTTGCTTTTTATTTCTGTACTTTGCTTTGGGTAAGAGTTTCATTTGTCTCATTTGTCTGAATATGATGCACGTCAGATTTCAAATCCTCTCCTCTCTTACTAGACGCAACATTTAATTCTGTTACTCTTGTTCTTCATCAGCAGTGTGGGAAGGTGGCTGAACTCTTTGTCTCATGGAAAAAGATGCTTCAATTGCTTCTTCAGTCTCCAGTTAGGAAAGACCTTGAATTCAACATTTGGGATATTGGAAGAAAAAAAAAAAAAAAAAAAAATCTGGACTAGCTTGGAAAGCTCTGGAAAAATACTCGAAGGAGAACAGTTGCCATGGCAATGTTTCTCCAATTTCCCTTGGGATGACAGAAATACATGTTGCAGACAGCTCTCCACCCACTGTACACCTCACACAGATCCCAGTGCTCAGGCACAGACCAGGCACAAACCCACCGAGCTTCCAGGTCCAGGCACATGCAGGTTAGTGCAGCTGCCCACCAAGGGCTTCTTCCTTGGTTCTTAGCCTGCAGGTCCTGGAAGGTAGAAGGGCCACAGCAGGGGATATAAACAGGCACTGACTTGAATCCCGTGCTCAGTGCGTGGCTCTGAGTTGATCCACACACGGGAGGATCTAAGTGCTCAAAGATCCTGAAGACCTAAATCCCAGCTGTGTCTTTCGCGATGTTTCATTTCCATTTTTACCTTTGAGAAATCGCCACCTAAAATTCAGGTTCCTGATGCCAATCTTCTCATCTGGGTTGCATAAAAGATACATCTGAGGCTGCCCCACAATCTAGTGCCACCAATCAGCCAGACCCAGAGCTGTACTCATTAAGAAGTGTGTGGCTCCTTCTACCTCATTCACCCACGTTTCTCCCCATGGGAACTGGGATGTGGGCAGGAACAAGTGCCAGGAGAGCTGCATGCACCCAACTCTCACCTGGGCATGGAGTCAGGATGTAGAATTAGACACTATTTCAGAAACCAAGTGGCATTTGCCCTGACCCATCTTTTTCAGCAGCTCACACAGGAGACTAGGGGAACGACATCTGCCGTGCCCAAAATCTGTCCTGCGCTACAGATTCAGCTGAGAGCAAAGCAGAAAGATTATGAATGAGATGACAAAACCAGCCTGCTGCTGGCATTGGCACTGAGCAGACTGGAAGTGTTTCATCCATTACTGTCAGAGAAGTCACTTTTGTCACTGATCCTGCGCCAATAAATCAAGTTGCCAAGCAGTTTTATGGAGGTGTTATACATCCAAAGCCACTTAAGGTCCCGTTAAAAGAGATGCATTTCTTTTTTAGCTGAAGTGCTGTGACAGAAGAGAGTCACTGTCAGAGAGTTACTGTAAAAGAGGTATCATTGTAATTACAGCAAAGAGGGACAAAGTGAGCGAGGAGCCACCATCTCTTTCCCTTGTCCCATCGCCTTTGGGCAGCCTTGCAAAGCTGAAAATTTGCTACCAGAAGCACAATAGCTGCTCCTGCACCATTTGCCATGGTGATTGATGAAAATGGTGAAATAATGATGTTACTTCTACATTCACCATAAATCAACCATCCCTTCAAAGTGACTAGAGCACTGTAAACCTGCCCAGATTTATAGGGACAAACTTAACCAATTAGCTCTTTTATCAGGGCTGTCATCTTCTTAATGCAGTGTTAGATATATCTAGGTATGTATCTGCAGAAGTATTTATTTCCAAAGCTAACAAAGCTATGATCATAGCAGACTTAAAACCTTGGTCTGCAAATGGTCGCCCTGTGGCTGTGTTTATACTAACAAGTTCTTCTGTGACAGCAGAAGCTGACGAATAGATCAAAGCATTGGGTCTGCACATGACTTAGATACATACAAGCACACATAAACACACATGCACATACATGTATGTGTATATGTAAGTACGTATGATTTGGAGGTTCAGGACAGATGGAGACTGCTCTGTCTTAGAGCTCTTCTGCCCCAAATGCATGAAGCTGATGCTTTTAAACTTGGTTCTGTTGAAACATGGCCATCCCTGTGGCTGTCCTCACTGCCATCACAACACTGCTGCACACTGCACTGGCTCACCACACTGCTAGCCCCATTTATCACTGTATGAGTGCAGGCACCAATGAAGATGAAAAGCATTGCAGCTATCAGCTCATTAGCAGCACTGCCCCTCCTTACCTGGTAGGCAGAGATAACCTCCAGCCTAACCTCAGCTGCCCTGGAGGCAGTGCCAGCTGCTGCAGAGAGCCAAGAGTTGCAGGAGAGGGGCACAGGCAGATGTATGACCCTTGCTGTGCTCACCCCCTGCACTCAGATCCCACCAGGCAGCTCCCCAAGGCATGCAAGCATCAGTGCTGCCTTTCAGTTTCCCCTGCTCTGTCTTTTTGCATCCATGTCGGTCTTGGGTCAAAAATCCAGAGAGCACCTCTGACTTGGTTAAGCTGCTGGCCCCAGCAAAATGAGTTTGTCAGAGTGCCTCTGATGGCAGTGGAACATCTGGCTGCCCAAACAAACACTCATCTAGTGACAGAGCCATATGCAAGAGCTGGTGACCCTGCTGCCCACTGAGCAGAGTGTCAGCCTGTTGGAAACCCTTGGCCAAAGAGTATTTGCCCTTCTGCACGCAAGGAACTCCCTGCCAAAGGATGAGTATAGTAAGCTTACACAAAATTAAATGGACGCATGCATGGGATAAAGTTTATCTAGATCTAAAACATCCACAGTAGCAAAAATCACTGAGTCACATCGTACTTGAGACTGGGGGAGTATTTAGAAGTATCAGCACAGAGTTGCATTGATCCTGTATTCTGTCTCAGGTTTTCTCTACTGCCCATCACTGGAAGATACATGGACCTTTGTGTAACAGCACATAAAATGATTCTAGATGCAGCTGGACTTGGCTCTGAGCAGCCTGGTCTGGTGGTTGGCAACCCTGCCCATGGCAGGAGGATTGAAACTAAATGATCATTGTGGTCTTTGTCAACCCAGGCCATTCTATGATTCTGTGATTCTAAGATTCTGGACAGAAGGGCGTGTTGAAAATCACAATCATGAATATCTGTCTGAATCCCAGCCCTAGGAACACACAAGTGAACACAGAGCATTCCTCATGTGAGACCCCCAGGTTTCCAAATTAGCACAAAAAAAATCAGTAAGAGTTTTCCAGTGGCTGAAAGCCACAAAAAATCAGCTCCATCTCACACAGTCAGATAATGCAAGGCCACACCAGGATACCAAAAATAGCAATTTATTGGAGAAAGCACTATGACTTCTTATAGATGTAAGGTGATTAATACCCGAAACTGGCAATTTGAAGTCTTTCAAATCAACAGCTCCCACTAAGCTCATAAAGTCAACGATCAGCAAAAACTGTAATTCACATTATTGTATTTATTTAGTTAAAATCCTAGAGAACACACACAGAACACAGGCATCTTACCTTGTACAGAAAAGGCAGTTTAGTTTGCATAAGCTTTTGATACCAATAACACTGTTTATGAAACTCTACCCTGTGTGCTCAATGCTAAAGGCCAGCAGCAGAGCTGCAGAGGCAGAGCTTCCAGAACTGGTAGCTATTGAGTCAGATGTCCTTGCTTTTTGTTCAGAAAGTGTGTGCATGTTATGAAAAAAAAAAAAAACAAAACCAAAACAGCTTCCTCTGTACCACACTGCTGAGATGAATTTGAGAAATTTCCGGATTATGATCATTGCAATATATTTGTATCCTCAGTATCCAGAAATGACTATATCCATAGATAATCTATACGTGACTTTCAAAATCAATTCAGGAACACATAAACAGGGCAGAACTACATCCCTCTATTCCACACTCATGCAGATAAAAACAGTTTGTGGTAAGAACAAGTCAGAAAGGCCTTTGCGTCTTAAAAAAGTCCTCCACAACCTACCATGCTTCCTGAACTCCCTTTGTTTCCCTTGATTTCCTTTTGATTTCTTTTCTCCTGTGCCGTAATAATTAACCATGGCAAACAGCTTTTCCCTTGCTTTTGTTTTTTGAAAACTAAGTACTCATCTACTTTTACAAGTCCTGACCAGCTGCTGTTGCATACAGGGAATTGAAACTCTCCTATGAGGTCCACAGTGAAGTTCTTACATGACTCAGCAAAAGAGAAAATAAAAAAAGCAAACATCAGAACTTCAGGTTTTCTCCTATTACTGATAAGATTTGTTCTCAAAAAGAAGGCACAGGTCACACAGCTCAACTGGCCAGAACCCAGGACACCATCTGAACAATTTTTTGTTCAGCTTCAGCAGGAAAATGTCTTTTGGAGAGCACCTGAACCCTGAGGCACTTTAGCATCAGAGGGGTGCAGAGCAAGGAATTGTACAAGTATCCATAGTGGCACAGTGCATGCCACCATTACAGGCATCCTGCTGTCTCCCCGGCAGAGCTGACAGCTAAAATGCTGATTTGATGCCTTCCAAGGAAAGACTGACAGCGTCCTAATACAAGACCCATCCTTAATATTCCATCTGAAGTTTCAGAAAGGCTGCTCAGTATCTGATGTAAACCCATGTTTTCAAGAACAACCAGGCTTTCCTCCTTTAAAGACAGCTGCTCAGAGTAACCCTTTTGAAACTTACTTCATTTAAGAAGAGAGATCTGCACTTACAGACATCCCACTAGATGCTCATCATTCATCAAATGTACCCTCAGATGACAAGTAATAGGTACCTGCTTTTTCACAGTCTGCATTTTTCTAATTCAATTAGAATACCATGTGCATTTCAACTTTGGTCCTTTTGTAGGCTAGTTTTAGAGCAGTATTACACACAAGTAATAGGAAGGTGATGAAATGGTGTTGGGGTCTTACTCATCACACTGTCCAGCTGCTAGCTGAGATCAGAACACAACAACACAATCTAGAATGTCCTATTTCAAACAGAAGGGACAGTGGCAAACAGAAATCTTCCTCCAAGAAAACGTAAAGAATGCTTATTTTCACTGCATTGTTTTGGTAGCAATGCTGATGTCCCTCACGTCCCTTTATATTGCTTTTTCAATTGCACAGACGCTTGCAGCATCTTACTGCTGCAGCAAGCTCAAGATGATTAAAAAAACCTGTATGCACTCTCATCATATTTCCCTGCCTGCCTCAGGTAAGACTAATAGACTGCCAGCACTTGGACATGACTCCTGTCAGGAACCAGTCCTGGTAACTGATTACTTCAGCTGCCTCAGCATTGAACTTTGGGAGCATGAGGAAGATAAAAGCAAGACACTGTGAGATCATGAGAGTCTGTGATTGAGAACTTGGTCTGCAATGAAGGAGCAGGATCATCAGGTGAGTGTGCAGTATTCTTTCTTCTAAAATTGTTAGTCCATAAAAGACCAAGGCATGGGTGTGAAAGAGGATAATGGCTTTCTGCCTCTGCCAAACAGTTAGTTCATTTTGAAGAGAAGATAGACAGAGTATGGGGAGCCTGTCGGTGCAAGGCAGCATCACTGGGATCCAGATGCTCATTCTTTTACAAACCAGACCTCATTGCGTCTCCCGTAAGGCTTCATAGGGGGGTCGTAACCATTGCAGAAGTAGAAATCCTTGCGGTATGCAGCTTCACTTCCCAGAGCAGTCTTCAGTTTGGCAGCGTAGTTCACATAGTCCACCTCTTTGGCATAGCCACCAAACTGCCTGTGAAGAAACGAAAAGTGGAGAAGAGCTAAGCAGTCCTGGAAGAGCATGGAAATAAAGAGAACAATGTATAGATATAATGTATTTAGGAACTCATTTTGATCCAGGTCCTGTCAGGATGCACTGGTGCAGGCACGATTCTTTGGGAACCAGCACACTTTATCTGCCACAGATCAATAGTCTCAAAGGTTACATAGCCAGGGTAGAGTTGACAAATCCCATACAGACCCATATCTATCAGTCACTAGAACGGGCCTGTCCTTTGAATGAGTGCCATATCAGAGGAACAGTTTCTCAGAGCACAAAGTTATCTCTAAGCCAGCTCAGACCACAATCTTTCACCAATGCTGTCAACAAAAACGTTCACTGGGGTGTGAATAACCACCTCCTGGAAGCAAGATTGAGGGACGAAGGAAAAAGGGAGTCAGGGCATAGAGATATTAGCATGTTATTTAAAAGTGATGGCCTGGAACCCAACTGTTTTATGCTAATCTCCCACCAACAGAAACTGTTCCCACATCAGCCTACACCTTGTGGCCCTGCCTTAGGGTTAAGGTTTGAGATAAAATAGCCAGTTACAGCATTAGCAGCCCACACCTGCAGCAAAGGCCAGCTGCAGTCACAGGCACAGGAGGAGCCAGCAGTCTGACAGTTCAGTCAGCCAAAAAAGTTGAAGAAAAGAGTCAGGGGTACATCCCATGGTAAAGAGCTTCTTGCTACTGTGATGCTAACTCAAGTTCAGCTTAAGCTGGCCAATAGCTAAAGACGTTCTTAAAGTGATCTGAAGCAATGCAATGGCTGCCTGTACCCATGATGGAGACTCTGGAATTTAGGCCTCAGCTGATTCCTATAATCCGGTGGGAATCACATTAAGGGACATGCTTGATGACTAAGAATCATCGTGATCCCAGAAAATGGGAAAAACGAAGGTTTTCAGAGATTATAAATGACTCAGTCCCTTCATACTCACCCTCCCCAGTTCTTCACCTCCTCTAGTGAAACAAAAAAGCCTTTCAGGGCTAACCCCTGCACTTATTTTCTCAATGATAAAAAAAAATCCATATTCCAAATCTGTGCAGCATTAATCATGACAAGAAATGACATAAACCATGTGCCTTCACAGTCTAGAAGGATCCCTCTACATCCTAACACATGCATCCCTTGTCCCAGAAGTCACCAGTAAAGTCAATACTGGCCCTCATAGCACCCTAAAAACCTCAGCATTTCGGAAATCCTGGAAATCCCAGGATCTGTTCCTTACATGGAATAAATGGTCATCCCTTGTCTCTCTTCAATCTTAATACTTTCATCACTTGGACAGGGAGGACTGGCTTGAAATTGGTTTGGGATTCGCAGATAGACCTTCACTTTCTGCTGTAAGGAGCCATCCTCAGCAGGAAAAGCAGTGATGGAAACTGGAGCAGTCATGCCCATTCCAGCGCCTGAAAGAGAGGCAGAGAAATTACTACAGAAGCCTAGATTCTTGGGAACTCAAAGCATTAACAGGGCTCAGAAAAGCTAATTTTGGTTTAGAAGGCTCCTCATCGTGATCTCTTTGCACAATCCAGCTGAGAGATTGGGGGTCCTTTGGGGTAGGCAGAAGAGCTTTTAGGCTTTTCCTTGCACCAAATCTCTCTTTTGCTTTCTATACAGGGATCCTGGGAGCTAAGGGTCCCCAGAGACCTCTGGAGGGCTCTTCATTAATGGTCCTGGTTTTGTGGCTCTCACTATACAGCTCACGTCACCAAGATGCTCTTTTCTGACAAATCCGCTCTAATACAACAAGGCCTACAGTTCTGGTGCAGTGGCATATTTGTAACTGAAATATTTAAATATATGAGTATTTACAACATTATCATCTGTACTTAATGGTAAGGCTACAGTCAATACTGGGCAACAGAAACTTTCTCCTAAACCCTTCCAAATGCTTCCAGAGATCCAACAAGTTCCAATGCCCCAAAACTCAGAGACAGTCTAGCTTTCAGGAGCACTGTCCATGTTCTCCTCTAGTCTGTAGCAACAGCACACCTCTTGTCTGTTTCTAAGATGTACATGGCACTCAAGAACGTTTTTCTTCCCTCTTTTTCTTTCAGCAGTTGTGAACCTACAACCTTCAGGATTAGGCATTGAAATGGCCAAGACCAAGACATCCTTCTCATTTATTTGTATGCTCTGATACCATACCTTTCTCCTAACCATGTTGTGGAAGGTACCTTTTCCTCTACAGCAACAGGTGATCATCACCTTTCTGAAACTGTAAACACCGTTCCTTTCCCACTCAGCTCCTATTCCCATACAGACTGTATAAGTCCTTCTACCACATGCTTGAGAAAGGTATGAAAGTCAGAGTATATGCTTCAGATCTTCTCTGTGGTCTTATCATCCTGTTCCAGATGATTACCGATGCACATACTTTAGTAAGCTGAGAATTAGAGGCAATCACCTGGAAGTGCCATTATAAAACACTGCAAAGCACTATTAAAAAGCAAGCTCACTGTTCATTACTCTTTCATGAATAAAAATCACCAGAGTATACAATAAAAACTCAAGGTCATAAAAGTTATCTAGTTGCCTACAAGGGCAGGCTTTCTAGGTGTGATCACAGAACCGAAGCACTCCAGTTACCCTGGATTTCATTAGCTACCACCATACAGCCAGCAGGCTGTGACGAGCACGTGTGTGCCTGTCCTTGCAGACCTCATTGCACTCTACATCTTCCTGAAGGGAGGTTGTGGTGATGAGGGGTTTGGCCTCTTCTCCCAGGCAACGAACAGGACTGGAGGAAATGGCCACAAGCTGTGCCAGAGGAGGTTTAGATTAGACATAAGGAAGAACTTTTCTCTCAGAGGGTGGTCAGGCACTGGAATGGCTGCCCAGGGAAGTGGTGGAATCACCATCCCTGGCAGTGTTCAAGAGGCATCTGGATGAGGAGCTACAAGAAATGGCTTAGTAGCTTGTGGTAGTAATGGTAATGGGAAGGTTGGACTAGATGATCTTGTAAGTCCTTTCCAACCTTGTGATTCTATGATTACCCCAGCAGCAAAGTAATGCAAACATACTTAAAAAAGCAATCTTTGTGATGTTATCCTGAGAGAGGAAAGAGAGGAGTGGAGTCATAGCATGACCTGGCTGGACACCTTATCCTGTAGGTAAGTTGACTGCTCTCAATGAGGGACCATGCTCAGCTTAGACCTCTAGTGAGGGGGCCACATGGGCTGCAGTGACACCAGCTCTATCAATGGGGCTCCCATTAAGCAGCCACTACAGCTGCCCAGCGAGCATCTCACCTTTGTCATTGCTTCCTCCAACATACTTGAGGAGCTTCAGTGCTGCTTCCTTTGAGGCTTCATCAAAGGGCTTCCCCGTCACCTCCACCACAGCAAACTGCCCACCTTCACACTCCCTCTCCTCGTAGCTGAGCTGCTCCTGAGGGAATTGGGATTTTTTAGTCTGGAGGAGGTGCAGGTGAGACATTACTGCTCCCTATAACGACCTGAAAGGAGGTTGTGGTGAGGTGGGGGGTCAGCCTCTTCTTCCAGGTAACAGTGATAGGATGAGAGGTGATGGCCTCAAGTTGCACCAGGGGAATTTCAGGTTGGATATTAGGAAAAAGCTCAGAAAGAGCGGTGCTGCAGCGGCACTGGCTGCCCAGGGAGGTGGTGCAGTCACCGTCCCCGGAGGTGCTCCAGAACCGTGTGGATGTGGCACTGAGGACATGGTCAGTGGGCACGGTGGGGGTGGGCCGGTGGTTGGACTCCGCGATCCTAGTGGTCTTTTCCAACCTTAGTGATTCTGTGCTTCTATGACGGCGAAGGACGAGAAGGGGAAAAAGAAGCAGCTGTTCCCACCCTTCCGAGCCCGCAGGCAGGCACTGCCCCGCACCCCGTCCCGGGCCGCTCAGCCGCCGCCGAACACCACCCAGCTGCGCAACGGGCGGCCCCGGCAGCCCCGAGCTGCGCCCCAGCGCCTGCCCGCCCCGCCGCCTACCTTCTCCCCCTTGCTCAGCACCCGGTAGGGCCACGTCTCCACCGTGCTCAGCAGGGAGTTCTTGATCATACCCAACATGTTGCCGTCTGGCCCGGCCCGGCTCGGCCCGTCACACCCCGGGCGAAGGGGGAGGGTCCGCGGGCGCTCCGCCGCCCGCAGCGCGCAGCACGACCGCCAGGGGGCGCCCGCGGGCCACGGCGGTGACCCAGAGGTGGGGAGGTGGGGGAGGCCGAGCGGAGCGGATCGCCGTGCGGGCACGGGTGTTCGTCTGGGGGAGGGGAGGAAGCTGGGGAAGGGAAATGTAAGAAAAGGGACGCACTGACAGAAGTGTGTAATGCTTAGCATGTATCCTTAAAGAGCGGAAAATAAACGGTAAATGTGACATTAAAGCATTTCCCTCTAGAGACTTGTGAGCAGGCAAAGCAGTTTGAGCGGCTGGATGTGACCATCTGATCCAGCTTGACGTGGGCTGTCACACAGTGAGTGACAGGAGCTGCTATCCGTAGCGACAAGGCCACAGATCTGGTCATTTATTTACCATTTGTATAATTGGGTTCATTCACCATTATGCAAGAAGTTCAAAATCTGTAATCCATGATGCACGCTGTAACTCACTTCTGGTAGTTTGTTTTTGGGGGAAAAAAAGTGAATTTCTCTCTTTAGATGGGGAGTTTTGACAAAAATACCAGCGTGCACCTATCTGTGTAGGAATAGGTGGGCTGGGTCAGACCAGATGTGTACCTTGCCCAGTCCTTTGCCTGTGGCAAAATCTGTAGGTGAACATCTTGGTAGAAAGTGAAAGCATGCAGTGATCAGGCCTGGCCTCGCAGCTCCAGCCGTCCATGAAGTCCTGTCTTGCTGTTTCAAATAGTCCTGGATGGATTTTATATAACTTCATACAATTTCTGATTGCCTGATGAGATGCTCATGTCTGAAATACAAATAGATAATGAAAGCTGACATTTATGTTGTGTTCTTCCTCCACATAGGCCAAGGTGGGTAGTATTCAGCCTTGAGGAAAGTACACAAAGCAGCCCCTGGAGGGAAATGTACAGCTGATGCTGCAGTGCTGCCTCGTGGCTCCGAATGCAGAACAGTGAGGAAGAGGTTGATGGGGTCTTTCTCTCCTCTTATTCCCTGTTATTTGGGTAAATATATTCTGAAATCAAAGTAGTCTGCATTTCTTTAGAAATTAACGTGAAAGCTTTGCCTGCGGAAATTATGATGAAAGCTTTGACTGCAGTTATCATGAAATGGCAGAGTTCAGGATCCATAGGAGGATCATTGCTAGGGTGATGTATAGCAAGCTCAGTGTACAGGACTTTAGGAGAACAGACTTTGGCCTCTTTGGGGATCTATCTGCGTGCTAGAGGACTGTGGGACAAAGCCCTGAAGTGAAGAGGGGCCCAAGGAAACTGGTTGATATTCAAGAATCACCTCTTCCAAGCTCAGAAGCAATGTGCCTCAACAAAGAGGAAGTCAGGCAAAAACACCAGGAGGCCTACATAGATGAACAAAATGCTCCTGGCCAAACTCAAACACAAAAAAAGAGACCTGCAGGGAGTGGAAGCAACAACAGGTAGCCTGGGAGGAATGCAGAGAAATTATCCAAGCAATGAGGGATCAGATTAGGAAAGCTAAAACCCTCATAGAATTAGATCTGGGCAGGGACATCTAAGACAAAAAGAAAATCTTCTGTAAGTATGCTGGTGACAAAAGGAAGATTAGGGAAAATGTGACCCCCTCTGGAAGGAAACAGGAGACTTTGTTACTTCCGACATGGAGAAGGCTGAGTTACTCAGTAACTTTTTTCCTCAGTCTTCACCAACAAATGCTCTAGCCATGCTGTCCAAGTCTCAGAATGCAAAGGCATGGACTGGAAGAATGAAAAACCACCACTATGCGAGATCAGATTTAAGATCATCTGAGGAAGCTGCAATGAACAACTGATGGGATACATCCATGGCTCCTGAGGGAACTGGAAGATGAAGCTGCTAAGCCGCTATCCATCACATTTGGGAAGCTGTGGCAGTCCAATTAAGTTTACAACAACTGGAGAATTTATACATGGGAAATACTTACCAGACTGTTTCATGCATTCGTACCTCTCCCCTACTCCCTGCTCAAATCCTAGATCCCAGCCACAATCTTCCTGTGTTAATTCTAGTCCATCTTGAAGGATGACATACAAAACTAAATGCTCCACTTTCCCTCTTGAAGGTATTGTAGTGTCACTGAACTACTTTCCGTATACTCAGGCATTGGGAAAACTTAAAAACCTAGTCTGCATACTCACTGTTTATAACTAGAATGTGTCTGCAAAACAACTGTCTGACCAGATTACCCCACAACCATTTAGAGATAATCCATTCCTTATTTTTATTCTCATAAAGTGCTTTAAAAATAGTTTATTTTTCTCTCTGGCCTTTATACCTATGTTTCAACAGATTGCAGGCATGCCATTAGCTACAGTGCTGGATAGAAATCTCTGTATTAAATTTGCCTTTAGAGGTCTGAAGAGTAAACCCACCCTGTCCTCTGTTCAGTGCATAACTTGATTTCTGCACCATGTTTTTTGTTACCGGTTTTATTACCAGGAAAGCAAAGACGAGCTGAAAGCAAAGCATGCTCTGTACACCTGAGCTTTGGGAGTATGTAGTTCTTCTTTTTCTACAGATCTTAATTGTGCTGAAGGATATGGAGGTTGATATTTGCATGTGGAAAAGATACTCTGTGAATAAGACATCAGCTGATTTACCAGCCAGACACCAATTGAATTACTGATGATTTCTGGGACTAAGCTGTTTCCTAAGCTATTTTGGAAAATCTTTGTTGACATCTACTAGGTACCAAAATTGTTTTGGAGAAACATCACCTGTTTTCAGAGGATCTTGGCAGAAGTCACTGTGATGCCATTCACAGTGTTGGAAGTTATGGGCGTATCTATTGCATAATGTTTTTGGTGCCCTCCTGCAGGTAGCCAAAAGAAAGCTCATTGAAGAAGATAGGTGTTCAGCTTTGGTCTCAAGAATCTGACATATCATCACTCTTGAAACAATACGCAGAGTCCAAGGTTATCCAACTCTACCCACTCTCTGAACATGTGAATGGGGCATTCTTTGCATTGGTGGAGAATAGGTTAAGGCTATATTTTAAAACATAACTTTCTCTCCCCCTCCTTACCCAGCTGGAAGTGCAAAGCCCTAATCTATCTTCCTGCATTCATCCGGCATTCAGCACTTCTGAAGATTGAATTCCCCAGCTGTTTCTGACAGAGTGCTGTGAAAATAGGACAGAGAAATTCAGCTGAACTTTTTAAAAAAGAGCTTACCCTGGTAAGCAGAAGGAATGACAGCATAACCTAAAGGTATTCGCACTCAAGTAGACCAAGTTTCTCAACTTATTTTGCATAGGACACAAAACAACCATCACTGAAGACCAGGGTCAGATTTGACCTACTGACCTTGAAATAAAACAACAACATGCAGAAGTGCTGGTCTCCTTGGTAAAGTCATTTCATATGTGCTTTAGTTTATTCTGTCTAGCAGTGTCCCATTGAGAAAGGCTTAAGCAGGCGCAAAAAAATAAAGGCTTTTCTTTTTTTGCTGGTAGAGAGTTAATTCCTCTGAAGTCTCCTGCGCGCAGGCAACCTTCTCCTATGCATTGGGAGTCTCCGCAGCTGAGTATTTCCACGCCTCTGGCTCTGCAGAGCGTTAACTCGGATGGGAAGGACAGCTTTGTTGATGACATTGAGCCTTTCATTCAGTTCTTCTAGCCTTTTCCGTATTGCCTGGACTTCCCTCACAAGATTCTCCACAGCCGCAGAAACAGGACGGAGACTGCAGAGAAAGTAAGACAGAGAGTAACTCTGAGGACTATTCTTGAACGTGCAACATAAATTGCTACCCTTGTGTTTCTTGAAGAAGGGATGGCCCTTCATGCTGAAAGGGCTGCAAGCAATTAGTTAAAGGATGCTTCCAAAACTTCAGTACTTCTAAAACCATAGTGCTGGTCCATTAACAGACCAACTTCTTCTCCCTGCACAGTGGCCAAGTCCATTAGTAGATCTGTAACACAATTCATTTTTCCAGCCTGTTCTCACAGGATTGAGGTGCTGAGGACAGAGTAAATTTTATTCAGAGTAATTCTTACAGCCAGGGCAATTGGGAACATTTCCCAATAAAGTGTGATCAGGTAGGGTGCCCAGAGCTGCCAGCAAAACAAATACCAACAGTGGGATTCATCTCTCTACACTTGAACAACTTGAAAGTTAAGGAAGATTAATCCTGGTGAAGGTAGGACTGCTAGGGGAAGTCTAAATCTTGCCTCCAGATGAAGGGAATTACCTGGAGATCTCCGGCAGCAAAGACTCTGGGTTGTTCAGCAGGATGTGTTTCATTTGCCAGAAGATGCTGTTTCCCCATTTCTCAAGTGTTTGAGTAATGCTGTTAATGCCTCCTATGTTGACTTTGTCAGCTAAGTTAGCAGCATGGCCATGGAAGGGAGGAAAAGAAGTTTGACAGAACAAGAAAATATGAGCCAATAATCTAAGTTTAATTCCCCTCCCCTTCACCTCACCAGTGAGTTGCAGTGAAATGCCAAATATTAAACATATGAAGGATTTAAATTAAAAAGTAGATAACTTTCCCTCACCGCATATTTCTCTGCCTTCTGTTGCCAGAGTTTTCTGCTGTCACTGGATGCCCCAGCTGACTATTTCTAAAATCATTTTTCTCCAAAAGTCTCAGCAGCTACCCAGGAATCAAGAAAGAGCACTCATGAATGAGCAGTATGTGTCCCACTTCAAGGACAATATAGGCAAATCTTCAGCCCTGAGTTAGCAAATCCCTCCCATGTTGACCCACCACCACCTCTTACCGCCTTCTCTGTAGTCCCATTTCAGATTGTAGTCCAGAAAGTCCTCCTGGGATTTACTGCAGGGCAAGAGGATGAAGAAGAGGAAGAGAGGAAGAGTCACCATGATGGTGGTTCGTAGGACCTTGACTTTCCCCTGCTCTGTGGAGACAGAAAATCTTGCTAGCTGCTTTATTTCTCTCTTTCCTCTCTGTCTCTGTCTCCCATCTGTGACCTGAACACCAAATTTCTCTCTGGTAATGTATTTCTTTGAAATATTTTTCAAGCTGCTCAGCATGGCTTCTAC